AGGAAGAGGTGGATTAAACCTAAGAGTGTGGCTCTGGCCACATCAGGGTTGAGAATCCTCGAAGACATAAATGTTAAATGCTCAAGGGTCACTGGAAAACACATACTGAAAATCCAAATCTATATCTAGAGATATAGATTTGAGAGTTTCTAACATTTGGATATGCTGACTGAAGCTGTGGCCACAGAAGAGAGTACCAGGGAGAAAGCATAATGCAGAAAAGTCCTAAAGAACCACAACAATTAATCAAGAGGTGCAAATCAGACAGAAGAGAGGAGACAATACAACCCCATGGAACAATTCCCTACTTCTAGAAGCTTTCTAGCTTTGGGTAAGAAAAGATGTTTTCACATCTTAAACATCTTTTCACCTGTTAACATCTTTTATTATGACTATTTAGGATTAATACAGGTAACTTGAAAGAAGAGGCAGTAAACATAGAATGGCAAGAAGACAAAGGGAAATTATGCTGAAAAACTAAAAAGCTAGTGGTAACAAGAAAAAGGAACACTGGTTTAAAGGAGAAAGCTAATTCCAGGTGAGAAAAATAAAGGGACAGAAGAAAACTATTATTCATTGAGTATCTAGTATATGCTAGTAACTGTCCTAGGAGATTTCAAATATTTTACCTTATTTAATTTTCATAATATTCTCAATACTATGAGATAAATAGTATTCCCATTTTAAAAGAGCAGGCTGAGGCATATCTGTTAAGTAACTTATCCCAAGCCTTGCATCCAGTCCACTTGTACATGGCAGGCTCAGAATTAGAACCTAGGTGGAAGGACCACAGCCCTTGACTTTCCCTTCATACTTCCACTTACTAAACTGGTAAAAGCAAGACTTTCAAAAGGAGAAGGAAAGAAACCAATAATAACTGTACTAGGAGAAAATCAGGACAATCATTACCTGTCTCACTTCAATAGAGCTACTTCTTTTAGAAAGTGTAAAAGGAAAAACAAAAAAAGTAACACCAAAAATTCTCTTTAAATCCCAGAAAACAGATATAATTAGTGACAACACTCTCACCCCTCAGTCTGGCTTAACTGCCACCATTATTTGGATTCTAGATTGCAACCGTCATGCCTCTCCAGCTCTCTTCACAGTCTTTCAGAAGCTCACTATCAACAATGAGATCGGGGGGAGGGGGAATGACATTATCTAATAAGCCTACATTCCTCAAACTAGAAGGAAAAGTGATATTTTTAAAAATCAACTTCTGCAAAAAATGCTCATTTTATAGCACAGTATAACATTGCTTTATATTCCATTGAAATCCCCTACTTTTTTCCCTCTAAAATTGTAAAACAAATGAAATCTCAAATGCCAGTTAAGGAACAATATTGACACCTTGTGGTGAACATCCTCAAGTATCAAACAGCAATAAGTAAATTGGCTCTTAATTAAATGTCTCTTTACCTGAAAACAAACATTTAACCCATGAATTTTCAAGGGTTAAGATGCAAAAGTTCAATGACCACACACACACTCAATGTAAATCTGGAAAGAGCTGTAAATACTTTGGCAACAATGCAATAAGCCTAAATTCCTAACTATGGGCCAAAGGATCAGAATAAAATCTCAGGTAATTGTTTTTCTAAAACAGTAAAACACATCCATCTAAAAGAGGTTAATGTCCTGAGTTTAGCTGCTCCTTAAAGTCCCTTTTTTGTGTGTGTGACACACATACACATAAAATTAGAGGGAATATATAAATACTAGAGGCACAACAGTATAGCGAGAGTTACTAACTAGAATATACTCTCAAAAAAAAGAAAGAAAGAACAGTCAACCTGCGATCTCATCCTGACTCCAACCAGCACTGAGAATTTTAGAGTTAAGTGATATTAAAGAACTCAGATTCTGTGTGTTTTCACATAAAATTATAGATCGGGTAGCAGCAATTTTATAAACCAAGAAAAGAAAATGTTTGTTTATTTATTTATTTATTTATTAATGACAGGGACAACATTGCCTACCTAGAGAGAAAGCAATTAACAATTTAATGTGACAGGTGCTCAAGTTTTCCAACAAGCACTCTATATCTATCATGGCAAAAATTATGGAAAGCTGGACATGGTGGCACACAACTGTAATCCCACAACTCAGGAGGCTGAGGAGGAAGATCACAGGTTTGAAGCCAGCCTCAGCAACTTAGTGAGATTGTAAGCAACCTAGTAAGACCCTGTATCAAAATAAAAAATAAAAAGGGATGGTGATATGGCTCAGTGGTTTTGCACCCCTGGGATCAATCCCTGGTCCCCCTATCCCCCTCCAAAAAAATTTGGGAAAAGAGGAACATTTAACAGTTAATAGAGCAGGTGATAGATATTTATTACTATGTCTGAGAAAAAGAACTAGCACAGGAAGTTCCATTTTATTAACTATGACAAGTACAATTTAAAGTTGCTAGTTATCCCTGGATTCAGGTTGAGAAACAGACATCTGATTTGTTCAGAAAAAGCATTATTTGTGTTATTAGCTATAAATGAATTACACAATGGTGGTGAGAAAACCACTGTTAATAAAACAATTTGAATCACTAACATATCTGAGGGAAGGTACCCTAGAAATGAAACCCCCAAGAGCCAAATCATTCCAAGTTCAAAGTTAAATAACCAACTAATTACCAAGCCTGGTGATTTTGCATTTACAGAGGGCATTGTTTTTTTCAGAAAATTTCCTCAGTCATTATATTATGTGCACCTTGTAAGCATCAGTCTAGAAAGGTAAGACTGAAAAGGTGCTGGTTAAAAAATCTTCAAACCAATCTGCAGTCTGGCTCCAGTTGTGGGCCCTGAGATAGAGAAATCATTCAACACCTCCTGGCCTCAGCTTTTATGCTTAAGACAAGAGCTATGATCCCTGATGTGTGAACATTCAAAGGTTCTAAGAAAATAAAATAATAGCTGTGGGATACCAACCTTGCACGTGACTGAGTCACACTCCCTGGCTGGGTGCTGAAGCGCTCAGTCGCAAAAATATGGCAGAGCTTTCCCTACCCTTCTTGGTTGCGGGACAGTGTCTCATGCATGGGTGTGTCTTGCTATAGCCCCATAGGTGGAACTACACTCACCTGTTCTTTGTAATATAAACTCTTGCCCTGTTTAGGATAGAATCTTCCATGGAAGTGCCTTGTGTGTGTCCCCTTCTCTTACTGTGCCCTTGGGTATGGCCCACCCGGATGTCAGTCAACCTGCTGACAGTGGACATCATGAAGATAAGACTCAGCCCCCTGAAACCTGACCCCTTGCCTCATTTGAATAGCTTCTCCTCAATAAAAGGGGGTCAGCATGTGTATGTGTGCGCTCTCTCTCTCTCTCTCAATAAAAAGGGGTTAGCACGTGCGCACGCTCTCTCTCTCTCTCTCTCTCTCTTTCTGTGGACCCTTAAGGTCATGGTTATTTTGCGCAGCCCAATTAGCCCAGTTTAACTGGGGTGACCCCTGAGCCTTTTAAATGCAAAAACGGAAACCCGGCAAATAGATGTGAAAATGCTTGGATATTACAAAAATTTATAACATCACTGCTTCTATTTTATTTATTTACTTTTTTTTTTTTGAAGAATCAGAGAAGTTAAATGAATTGGGAATAATCAAGGATAGCTGAAGTTAATTCCAGTGTTCTGTATTGTACCACAGGCTTTCACAGGCTCCCACAGCCGTTCTCCATCTCCTGTTCTCCTATGTATTCCACAGCATCCCATGCCTTTAAACTATCCTCTTTTAGCCTCTATGGTGCTACACTATTCCTCCTCTTTTCCCTGACTTAGGATATTTTCTTTTAATTCTACTGGTTTCTCTAATATAATCCCACAATCTCATACCCAGAAGACATATTTAATATAATTATATCTTATCTATACTTAACTAGGGAAAACAGAGGTCGAGATAATAGCAGCTTACCCACATTTTCAACTAGACATTCCTCTTTTCAAGACTTAAAACTCACTATGACCCAAACTGAATAGACTAAAAAATACGTATATATTTTTACAACTCTTGCATTCTATCTCCACCTTCAAATTACTAAATCCTGACAGTTCTATTATACATCCTAAGAAGTCAAGGTGAAGGCATTTCCTAAATATAAATCAAAAGTGATCTTAGTGAAAACTCACTGTCCCCTAAGAGTAATTTACACAATTCATGTGACCAAACTCTATATCATCACGTATAATAAGATCCAAGTTTCACATAGAAAAGGCTATTTTTATAATGTTTATAAAACAGCTCTTTCTCCAATCATCCTTATGGACTCTTCCTCTAGGAGATATATAAAGGATATCTAATGGTCTGAAATTTATGAAGTGTTATGTAAACATTAGAAAAATACTGCCAAAACCAAATTTCAATGAGTAATCTGTCTGAGTAGGGTGAACAAAGATTGAGTGTCACTGTTAATTTTCTTTTAAAATGCATTTATTTTGGTAGCTTGCCCCCCTGGGAAAATGTCCTTCATGAACTATCACATTTAAAATCAAAGAAAAAATTTAAAATCTTTCAAAATTAAGCCCAGACATTATAAAAATATAGAACTGAAGCACTTAAGCCTCTGAGCATTAGATTCATGTAAAGCTCCTTTGGCTTGCCAAAGATGATTCTTTTAAGATGAACATCAGGTGGAAACTCTGGGGTCGTGGAGGGCTTTTCTATTTTCTAGTTAATGCTATGGCCGTTAAGATTTTGATAAGTCTAAATTTTGCACTTCTGGATGGTGCTGTTTAGAGTACAGAAGACCAACAAATAGCTCACGTCCCTGTTTTAAGATCACTGGCTTCCAACCACTCTTCCCCACTGTCCAAAGTGGGATAAGGGCTTTCCCAAGACTTTGTGAAAGAGAGAAACTTCAATTACTGTAGCTATAAAATTTATGAAGTTTTCATTAAAAAATGCTAAGCCCGAGTAACAGCTTCTAGAACACCCATACATTCTTTCACATGGAAATGTCACAAATTCAAAATGAGAAAGATTCTTAAGAATTTAGGGGGAATTTTCTTACCGTAGCAAAGAGAAGACATCATAAGAATTGCGAACACAGTTCTGATCCACCTTAAGAAGAATATTCTTCTGAGCATTTGAATAACCCTGAAAGACATTAATCAACAAGTAATCAAAATGAAACAAAAATCAAATCTGTATGAGTTAATTATGTTTGCCTTTTTAAAAATATGACTAAATACCTGAGTTTATTTAAAATTTTAGAGATTTCAAGAAATTAAATATAATTTCCATGTAACTGAAGTCTAACCTTTCAGGCAAGCGAACTTAAAATAAATTTCTTTCCCAGTTTCCCACAGAAACAATGTTTCACATTATAAATTGTGGTGAACTTCTCCAAGAAGCTTCAAAAATTCTTTTAACATATTATGTGACTGAAGAAGAGTATTAACAGTAATATTTCAACTATGCCTAGCCATCATGTGTAAATAATGTTTATATGAGGAAAAGGAATTCCAAGTTTTAATCAGGAATGTAAGAAACAAATATTTCCACTTAGAGGTACAAAAGAGTAAGGAAGTTTTCTAAAGAGAACATATACAACGGTAGAATGAATTGGACATAACTTTCCTATGTTCATATACAAATACACAACCAGGGGGCTGGGGCTGGGGCTGAGTGGCAGAGCACTTGCCTAGCATACATGAGGCCCTGGGTTCAATCCTCAGCACCACATAAAAATAAACAAATAAAATAAAGACATGCTGTCCACCTACAACTATAAAAAAAAATTAAAAATAAACATACGACCAATAGAACTCCACATCACATTCAACCACAAGAATGGGCTCTAATAAAATAAGTTATACTATATATATATAATATGTCAAAATACACTATAATGTCATGTATATCTAAAAAGAACGAAGGCTGGAGTTGTAGCTCAGTGGTAGAGCACTTGCCTAGCACATACAAGGCAGTGGGTTCAATCCTCAGCACCACCTAAAAATAAATTTAAAAACAAAAAGGTATTGTGTCTATCTACAACTAAAAAATTAAAAGAAGAGGAGGAGGAGGAGGAGGAGGAGGAGGAGGAGGAACAACATAGCACAATTCCATAAGAGAAGGACAGGTATCTCGCCATCCAAGAAAGGCAGTATAAATACTAGTTAGGAGAAAAAGACTGTAGACCCAGGCCATCGGGCTTCCAATTTGAGACCTTAATATACCAGTTTCGTGATCTTAACTAAGCTCTCCTCAGTTTAATATTGGTTTCTTCCCTTTGTAATACAGAAATTCTAGTAGTATCTACCTAACAAATGTGGGAAGTAAAATAATATTTCTGAAATGAAAATACTATATAAGTGCTTGCTATACTGCTAGTATAAACATTTTTTTTTTTAAAGATTATGTTGCTCAAAGAGAGAAAGAGAAGGGAAAAAGGCAGGGGGGGCAAGTGAAATTCTGTCAAAATAGAAGAAACATCAGTGGAATAGAAACAGTGAGGGAAGAGAGACAGAGTAAAGGAAGAACAGTGGAATGAATCGACCTAACTTTTCTATGTACACATATGAATATGCATCAGTGAATCTCACCATCATGTACATCCTCAAAACAATAATTAAAAAAAAAAAACACAAGTAAACAGCAGAAAAATCAGCAGAGGGAAGAGAACGGGAAAGGGAAGAGGAATTACTAGGTGCTAAATTAGAGCATATTATATTCCGTGCTTTTATAATTACGTAAAAATGAATCCTAATGTTATGAATAACTAAAAAGAACCAATGAAAAATGTGGAACTAGAAAAAAGATTATAAATCTCATAAAAATAAAAAGATTGTGAAGCTCAGACATTAAAAGAATGTTACTAATAAATGCATGTTAATAAATTGGACAACTTAGATCACACTAACTCCTTAAGAAAACACAGACTGTGAAAACTGACATATTACGAAAAAAGAATATCTGACTAGTACTGTATCTATTTCTTAGTGAATTATCAAAACTCTTCACACATACAGACCCCCACACACAAAGTCCAAATTCAAATTGTTTCACTGATAATTCTATCAAACATAAAGAAAGAAAGAACATCAATTTCACAAAACCCCTTCAGGAAGCAGAGAAGGAAATAATTTAAAACTTATAAGATCAGAATTACTAATACCAAAATTTGTCAAAGACATTGCACACACATACACATACATACACACATGCAGGAATCGCTCATGAACAGAAACACAAAATCCCTAACAAAATGTTGACAAACTGAACCACCAATATATCATAAGGATAAAAAAAAAAATTATCACGGCACAGGGCGTGGTGGCATATACCTGTAATCCCAGTGGCTTGGGAGGCTGAGGCAGGAGCATCACGAGTTCAAAGCCAGCTTCAGCAAAAAACAAGGTGCTAAACAACTCAATGAGACCCTATCTCTGAATAAAATATAAAACAGGGCTGGGGATGTGGCTCAGTGGTTGAGCACCCCTAAGTCCAATCCCTGGGTGCCAAGAAAGAAAAGAAAAAAAAAACTAGCACATACGTCTTTATTAATTTGATTTATCCTAAGAATGGTTGACTTAGCATTTAAAAATCAATCAGATGAATACATGAAACAACCGTCATAAATCTAATGTGATAAACACAAAATTATAAAGATGCAATTTGTGACACAATAACTTAAGGGTGGGAAAATGGAGCTATATATATAGAGGAAAGTTTATATACTATTAAAACTAAGCTGGTATCAATTTGAACTAGATTGTTATAAATTAAGATGTTAACTGTAATCCCCAAGGCAACCACCAAGAAAAAAACTAAAAGACATATACTAAAAGAAATGAAAAAGGAATTAAAATGTTACATGAAAAAATATCTAACTCAAGAGAAGTTGGTGATGGAAAAAATGAGGAACAAAAAGATATAAGAAAACAAACATCAAAACTGCAGAAGCCCTTCTGTATCTGTAAATACATTATCTATAAAAATGATGACACACTCCAATTAAAAGGCAGAGATTGAATCCGGTACAGAGGTGCATACCGTATTCCCAGCTACTTGGGAGACTGATGCAGGAGGATGGCAAGTTCAAGGCCGGCCTCGACAATTTAGGGAGAGCAAGGAATGCAAATAAAAAGGAGGGTAACTCAATGGTTAAGTGCCTTTGAGTTAAACCTCCAGTACTGAAATGGAGGGGAGAAGATTGGCAGGATAGATTTTTTTTTTTTTTAAATGATCTACTATATGCTGTCTCAAGAGACTTACTTCAGAAACAAACAAACAAACAAAAGACTGAAAAGAGCTCATATCAGTGCTGAATGGGTAACTCAGTGGTATAAGCATGCACTGGGTTTAATCTCCAGCACAAAAAGAAAGAAAAAGTCAGTCAGTGATTGAGACAGTCCATGGGGTGGGGTGTCACATGCCTATAAACCCAGCAATGTGGAAACTGAAGACAGGAAGATCACAAGTTCAAGGCTAGACTCAGCAACTTAGAGAGACCCTGTCTCAAAATAAAAACAAAAAAGGACTGGGGGGTGTAGCTCAAAGATAAAGTGTCCCCGGTTCAATCCCCACTACCAAAAAAAATAAAATAAAGGCAGAAATACATGGAGACATCAACAGTCCACTTTTAACAATGGATAACACAATTAAACAAAAGATAAACAATAAAAGACACAAATAACACTGTTACCACACTTAACAGACACATGCAGAAGCCTCCATTCTCTTCAGTTGCATGTGGGATGTCCTTCAGGGCAGATCATATGTTCAGATACGAGGCAAATCTCAATATCTTTCAAAAAACTGAAATCATACAAATTATCCTCTCTGACCACAGTGGAATAAAACTAGAAATAAATAATTAGAAGAAATTTGTGGGGAAAAGCATAAATGTGCAAAGTAAAGAAAACATTCTTGGATAATCAGTAGATAAGAGAATAAATCACAAGGTAAATTTTAAAATGCTTTGAATTGAATGAAAATGAAAACACCAGTTCAAAACTTACAGGATCCAATGAAAAAGTGCTCAAGGGAAATTCACAGCTTCAAACATTTATATTTAAAAAAAAAGAAAGAGCTCATATCAGTAATCTACCTTCCACCTTAAGAAACCAGAAAGAAAAGAAACTAAATACAAAGGGAAGAAAAAAGGAAATATAAAGATTAGAGCAGAGTTCCACAAAATAAGAGAATACAAAAACAATACAGAAAAAAAATCAATGGAACCAGAAGTTAGCTCCCTGAAAAGATCAACAACCTGACATCATCTTAAGCTAGACAAAATCAGAGAAAAAGAAAGAAGACTCAAATCTCTAAAACCAGGGATAGAAGTGAAAGCATTATTCCCAATCTGACAGAAATAAAAAGGAGTATATAAGAATACTATGAACAAATGAAGCAGACATAACGTTCCTATGTTCATATGTGAATACACAAGCAGTGAAACTCCACATCATGTTCAACCAACGAATGGGATCCTAATTAGAATAAGTTATAATCCATGTACATATGTGTCAAAATACACTCTATTGTCATGTATATCAAATTTAAATTTTTTTTAAATTTTGATGTATATCAAAATTTGATGTTTTGTAAATTTTTAATTTTGATGTATATCAAATTTTAAAATTTTATAAAATACTATGAACAATTATATAACAAATCACATGAGTTAGAATAAATGGAAATTCCCAGGAAGACAAATGCTATCAAAAATGGCTCAAAAAGAAACAGAAAATCTGAACAGATCTATAACAGATAAAGGGGCTGAATCAGTAATCATAACGCTATCAGCAAACAAAACAGAACCAGATGCTTTGACTATAATTTGAAGAAAAAATATCACCAGTCTCAAAGTTTTCCTAATAAAAAAAAAAGGAAACACTTCTTAGCACATTCTATATAACCAGTACTACCCTAATATCAAAACCAGAGAAGAACATCACAACAAAACTACAGACCAATATACAAGGATCTTTCACAAAATACTAACAGAACTAATCTAGCATCATGGTAAAATGATTAAACCATCTGATCTATTCTGGGTATATACCCCAAAAGAATTGAAAGCTAGGATTTGAAGAGATATTTGTACAGCTACAGTCACAGTTGTATTATCCACAATTGTCAAAGGGAGTAGA